AAATGCTAATTCACACTCAAAATGGCAGTCGTAAAAACAGACAGAAATTTCCGATGAAGGACTTTTAAGGACTCTTAAGGACCATATGAACCCTGTGTATAGCACTCTATTTCCAGATCCTTCTTTGGCAAAATAATTTTCTTGCGGTAGAACAAAATGTACAAGTATTTTTGAGAGTGTGCTTGCTCCTGCAGCTCAGTATTTTTAAATGAGATTAAAGAAGCAGAATTTTCAGTCGCAACAGATGTGTAGAATTTCCAGTAGTCATGCAATATTTTCATAAGGAAAGTGGTATAAAACACAGACTGCTTGATTTTTATCGCGGTCCCCAAGAAAAAAGTGGCGAGATTAAAAACCAGATTTATCGAGTTCTCGTTGAAAACAATTTAGATATAATGAACGTAACTTCGTTTGCTGCTGATAACGCTTCTGTCAATTATGGCATAAATAATTCTGTGTATCAAAATTAAGACTGACAATGAAAACATTTTAAAAGCAAACTGTAAATGCCACATATTACAGAGCTACACAAAATTTGCATTAAAAGGCATAAAATCCAAAGTTGAAGCCTTAGTCTTGAAAGTTTATAGTGAATTTTCAGCATATGCTAAACAAACACAGACTTTGAAAGATTTCCACGCATTTTTCAATATTGAGTATCACAACATTTTGCGTCATGTGCCAACCAGATGGCTATCTTTATATCCAGGGATAGAGTGTTTGCTTTGTAACTGACCAGCTTTATGGCCAATTACAAATTTCCTATTTTATTGAAGAAGGAGAAGAAGAATGTAGTACAATTATTTGGCAAGCAATTTAAAGACGAAAACTTACTGCCTTTGTGCTACTGTTACTTTTTGCACAATGTTATGCAAATTTTCGATAATGAAATTAAAATCATCGAAAGTGATTTTGTTACTTGCACTGAATTGCACGATGTTATGCTTGAAATCCGCCGAAAAATAATAAATAGAAAAAATAACACACTTTTTGGTACTTCAGTAAGAGATTTTTTAAACAAATTAAATGAAACGCACAAGGCTACGTTTTATAAAAATGCAAACATTTTCTTTGAGAGATGTTTAGATTACCTGAAAAAAGGGTATCATTTCAGAAACTCAAGAGTATAGTAAATTGGGCATACTTTCAATGAAAAAAAAAAAAAAAAAAAAAAAAAAAAAAAAAAAAAAAAAAAACGATTATGTCGGATGCTTTGAGAGACTTGGCCATTGATTTAAAGATCACTTTTGATGAAAATAAATTGATGAAGATTTCTGCATTTTGAGGGAGGTTCAAGACAACATTGCTAAATCAAATGTAAGAGTTGATCTGAGGTGGGCAAAATTTTTCTCAACAGTCAAAAATAGAGTTTGAGATATGCTGAAGAAAGTAGTTTCATTCGTTTTGTCTATACCTATATCAAATGCTGCCTGCAAGCGTGTTTTCAGTATAGCATTCGATATATGGACTAAGGAAAGAAACCATTTAAATGAAGAACATGTCAAGGCAGAAATCCTAATGTTCTTCAATTTTAAAATGGACTGCAAAGAGTTTTTTAAATTTGTTAGTTCCAGACTAGATATTTTGAAATCCATATGATCAAATGCAAAATATAAGTTCAAAATAAAATAAACAGTTATGAAAATTGATATTTTTTTTTTTTTTGCCTCTCCTGGATTTTGACAGCCAAGAGGTGGCAACCCTAGGCCCTATCAGTCAAGCAGTTTCTGACCAGCAAAACCATTACTGTGATGGGGCATCCTCCTTATTCATGTGATTTGGCTCTATGAGACATTTTTTAAAATTTCCTAAAGTTAAATCTTGCTTAAAGGAAAGGTATTTTACCTCACGAGGTTCAGGCAAAGACAGAGAATCTCCTAAGACCCTTCATAAAACCTCATTCCAGAACTATTACCAGCAATGGCAGCACCGAATGCAGAAGTTTGTGAATGCTGAAGGGGACTACATTGAAGGTTATAATGTCATGGAGAACTGATTCTATAAGTACAATGATTTATTGGACCAGTCTTGTTTTTTTTCCTTGTGTCACACCTCATGTAATGAGCATATAAGCATATTTTAAATTTTTGTTTATTTTACTAGATTGATATCCCGATACATGTACAATTTTTTAACTTGTGAAAATACTAGCACTACTGGATTGCATTGTGAATAAAGTGTAATTTTAAGACTTAACAAGTTTCATCTAAAGCATTAAAAAAAGTATTCAGTTAACAAATCATAAGGAGAAGAATTCAAATTAAAGAAAAGCATTAACATAACTAAAGGCTATCACTAATTTGAGGGGGGGTGAAAAGAGATTTTGTATTGGGAATATTAGGTACATCGGCTCAAAGGAACTGTTAATCTGAAGATAACTAGCAATAAACTTGATAAAAATTGACTCATTACAAGCTAAAATAGCTAGCTGTTAATCATAGCTATCACCAGGCTTTGGAATTAGTTGTTTATTGAGCCTAAAATATATGAAAAGTAGTTGCAGATTTTCCACTGGTTGCTAGCCTTTCTGATGTTTGCTTTTGAGTCCTTTGGCTAGAACAACAACTGCATTTTAACTGACTGATGATCCATTTTGCTACAGTATGAAAATCAATATCTGCTTCAACCAAACTAAATCATGTGCCACGAGTGCTTGCCAGAAGACCTTTAGTGTATTCCACTCATTTTTTTTCAGAACATGTTTCCTGGATGAGATACCAGTGAAGGTATGTAATGTTCATAATTAAATTCAAATATTTTTTTATACAAAGACTCATACGGTATCGTATCATCCAGAGCAGAAAGAACCGCTGAATGTTCCAAAATCTTTGATCACGATAAAGGTTTCACAGACATATGAAATCATTTACTGTTGCTGTAGATCACTATTTGCATTAATGGATGTTAATGCCTGGCTGTAAAAGCAGTTAGAACCAACTAATACTTTAATTCTATCATGACCTAAAACCCCAAGGCAATTAGCCACATAAAATGCTGAAAGAGAACCAATCACATGAGACTGCCATAATCTATTTACCTTCTCTTTGGAGAATGCAAATCTGCAAAGGGTTATTAGATGCAACTTCCCCAAAAGTTAGCTTCTGCATATCTGACCTATGGATGAATTCTTTTTTGGGTCATTTCTTTATGAAAGACTAGACATGATATGAGTTGAAAGCTTCCTCTTTGCTAGTTTAATGGAAAAGGAAAGCCACTACACATTCCCACAAAAAATTTGTCCATTATAGAATGTTAACTGTACAGCATATGAAACTCTTTCATATTTAAAGAACTAAATTCGGAGCCTTTAATAAAAAATTAGAGCCAACTTGATCATCAGATCTCAGTCTCATTCAATGTTTATAGAATTAACAACCCCCCCCCCCAAAAAAAAAAAAAAAAAAACTGAAAGGTTTCAGATTTTAAATTCCATCCAAAGGGGCATTTTTTTTTAACATTTTGTGTGTTACCTTTATTTATTAAATATCATGTTCTTTGCATTTAAATCATAAAATTCAGTTCAATAGCAATGTTGCAAAAATAATTTTAAAATGAGCATATCTTTTGAATTTCTGATACACAGTTCCGTGTGCTGGAAATAAAAAAATGATGTTCTAACATGAATGTCATTTATTGGCATGTGCTACTACGAGGTGTATTCGGAAACTAAGTACCGTTTCGAAAAAAAAAAAAAAAGTCAAACAATTTTTTTGAATCCAATTTTATTTTTACATGAAAATACATGTCTTAAACTATTTTTCAACATAGTTTCCGCCAATGATCAAACACTTGTCATAGCGGGTGACCAGTTTTTGTACACCATCGTCAAAAAAACTTCACGCCAGTTTCGATAACCACGACTCCACAGCATTTTTCGTGTCATCGTCAGATCCAAAGCGCTTGCCACCAGGCTCGCGCTTCATGTGCAGGAACAAGTGATAGTCAGACGGCGCCAAGTCCGGGCTGTATGGCAGGTGATCGAACTGCTTCCAATGAAACTGTCGAATTAACGATTGAGTGACACCAGCAGTATGGGGCCGAGCATTGTCATGGAGCAACACAATTCCTTTACTGAGCATTCCTCTTCCTTTGTTTTGAATGGCATGCCTTAGTTTTGTTAAAGTCTCACAATATCGTGCCGCATTAATGGTTTCACCTCTGAGAAGAAATTCAGTAAGCAAAACGCCTTTCCTATCCAAGAAGACAGTGCACATGATTTTTTGTGATGACATTGTCACTTTGAACTTTTGTTTTTTTGGAGAATAAGTGTGTCTCCACTCCATCGATTGTTGTTTCGATTCTGGTGCGAAATGACACACCCAAGTTTCATCACCTGTCACAATTTGGTTTAAAAAGTTTTCTCCCTCATCACTGTACCGCGTGAGAAATGTCAAGGCACTACCAAGTCGCTTTGTTTTGTGAACATCAGTGAGCATTTTTGGAACCCATCGGGAACACAGTTTGCGATAATTCAAGTGGTCAGACACAATTTCGAACAAAACAGTACATGAAATTTGTAGAAATGCCTCTGAAAGAGTTGTCATTGTGAAGCGTCTGTTCTCATGAATTGCTTCATCAACTTTTCTTACCAAATCATCAGTGACAACAGAAGGCTGACCACTCCCGAGCCTCGGCGTGGACAATTGTTCGACCTGCATTAAGCATTCTTACCAAGTTTCTCACCATTTCATCACTTATCGCGTATTCACCATAAACTTCACTTGACGATAAATTTCGGCCGGTTTAACTCGCTTCAAAAATTTAATCACGGTACGAATCTCACAGTCAGCGGGAGAACTAATTGTCTTAAACATTTTGAATGTGCACAGCAAACTGAAAACACAACATAGAGCAACCAAAATGGCGACAATTGAAAGTCAGTGAACAAGAAAGACTAGTGCGCATGCGCGAGACGCCTACCACAGCGCTGCGACGGCGCTAGAATGAAACGGTACTTAGTTTCCGAATATGCTACGTATAAGTAACAGAAAATTTCTTACCACTAGTCATATGCAGAGCTTTAGCTATTTTAGTGACTGTTGCATCCAACTTTGATTCAGTAACTTCCATTTCATAACCCAATTCATCCAACATCCTATTCAATAATACAAGGTTTATTTACTTTTGTTTTGTCAAATTTATACAATATATAAATACATACATATATATATTTGCATGTGTTTATATAATATATACATAATATATTTATACATTGCATATATATATGTATATAAACACATGTAGATTTTTGCCTGCATGCAAATATATAGGGCATTCAGAAAAGGGGGATACAGGTTTTATAGCCTTAAATATTGATCCTAGACTTGTACTTCCAGTTACAAAATGTCTCAAAATATAGGTAAAAGTTTCTTGAAAACAAGATCCACTCTTGAATCAATGCTTTGTGTTTATTACAGAGTCGAGAATATTTTGCTGACTGGAATTTCTGCTCTGCACAGAAGCCATATATAAAGTCAGATTTCATATTTAAAGAATACTCAATTACTGCTTGCAAAAAATTTTATACCTCATTTTCAGAAATTTTGCAACTGGAAGTATTTCTTTAAATACAGATCTTTGTTATTACTTAAATATAATCACTGTTTGTGCATATATACATAGAGAGAGAGAGAGAGAGAGTATTAGCGCAGGCTAAAGTAATCACTTTCATATTCAGAATTTCGTTAATTACATAAATGACATAAAACATTAACTTTTGCATTTAATTTAATAAAAAAATTATAAAATTAATAAAATATGTTTTTATGTTTAAAATTCATTACTTATTTGTTCTTTATGAAAGAAAAAAATATTACCTTATATGATGTGACATGAACATGAATATTTTTACAAAGTAATGAAAAATCATGTCTATTTTTAAGACAAAAAAATTAATACAGCACGGAACAGCAATACCAGACAGTGAAAAATATAAGTTCAAAATAAAAGTGGCACTGGTAATAAGCAAAAACAAATTTAATTATAAATGCATAGATAAATTAATTTTTACTTCTTTGTACAAAGTAAAGGCAGTATTGCAATTGTGAAAAGTTTCGGATATCATATTTTGATGAAAATATCGATTATGACTGTTCTTAAATACATCTGAATGATGTTTCTGCATGACATCTGTACGTATGGATAGAATAAAAAAAACATTTTCCAAAATAGATTATAAAATGGACTCGGAACAGATTTTTTTGTAATATACAAATGTATGTATCTCGCATAACTCAAAAATGAGTAGATTTAGAACGCTGAAATATTGTACATGGGACTGCCACAACATGTAGCTGTGCACCTCCTTTTTTGGTTCCAGTCAGCTGCAACAAGCACACACACATGTATAATATATAATTTCAAGCAATACAGAGGCACATTCAGATGCTAAAATTCGATTTAGCAATAATTTTTTTCCATAAAATGCTCTACCCACACATAATAATTGTTTTAGATTGTCAACATTCAAATAATATTATTTTATTTCAAAATTTAAAAAGTTCCAAGATGACTGAAAATCCCGTTAAATGCTAAATATGCTCTGTCACTTTTTCAAATGCAGAAAACATGTCACCAGCAGATATTCATCATCAGATTTGAGAAACTCCTGGATCATATTCCATGTCTGATTTAATTGTGAGAAGAGAGGTGAAATAATTTAATAATGATATTTATGATGAACAGCAGAAGGGTAGAAAGTCTCCTGTAAAAGATGACTTGTTGATTTTATAATGAACAGGAACTCACAATTTTATCACTTCCATGCACTTACCAGGAATATTAGACACTCACCAAATTATCAAAAACAAACACTTTTTGTATCAAATTATCAACAACTGATTGAATAGTCAGAAGATGCTGTTACTGGGTCAACAAAAAAAGGGGGGAATAAAAATCTTAAAAACGTAAGGTATAGCCTTAAAAACAAAACAATATAAACTAGTATTATTATCACAATCAGTACCATTTGGAAAGCATGAAATAGGAATGTTCATATTTTCATTGTCAATCCACTGAACAGAGGTTCTATGAATTCCTTCCAAAACTGAAAATTCCAATAACCGATTTCAGTTAAAAAGATGTGCATGGTGATTTTGCACTGCTATGAAATTTTGGTTGTAGAATTTTTGCTTCAAAGCAAAAAATCAACTATGAAGTCTGTTGTGAGATCTTATTATGTCACTAGCTGGAACAAACATATCAGCCTTCCTACAACCCACATTTGGAATCAGGTGACATTCACCTTTTTTCCGAGTTTAAAAATGTTCCTTTCTTAATAATTTAGTAATGATGAAATAAAAAGTGAAAAGCAGAACTGACTAAACAAACAGGCAACAAGTCCTTTTGTTCCTATGTATCAAGGGATACAAATTTTGTCATTACATTATAATAAATGCCTGAGTGATAAAAGGGACTGTACAGAATAATAGTTTAAAAGTGCTTTAATTGAATAAATATATATTTTTAAATCTTATTTCATTTCTTTACAGTTAAATAGAACTTAATTTCTAAATATGTTGAAATAATTTAATTTCTAAATATGCTGTATACATACATGCTTTACACAACAGTGTTTACTATATTAGAAACATATTAGTATATTAGTAAACTTACACAGATTGTTCATCTAATTCATTTCCTATTTGCCTACTCATGGATTTTAGAGTTCCAACAGTCGCTCCTACTCTTTCAATCTGCTCTTCTTGGGAATCGATTATAAGCTGGGGAAAAAAAAAAAAAAAAAAAAAAAAAAATTCAAATTTGAATAGTTTTAATCTTTTAAAAAATGATTAAACTAATTTTATAATAAATAAATTATAAAATGTATACTTATAATGACCTTCCCATTCTGACTGTTATACATAGAAGTGCTCAAATATAAACATGAATTTTCAAATTTTGTTCTTGTATGGAATTCAACATAATCATGAGTCACAGGGCAAGCACATATATGTTTGAACATTTTAACTGTAATGCTATTTCTTTTCTTTCATTATCACTAAATTTTTTACCAACAAAGATGTCAATGCATTTCAGATTTACTCAAGACTTAAAAATCAGTTTGTAAGTCTCTCAATCTACAATGCATGACTAATACAAATCTTTTACAGAAAACCAAGATGAAAAATGGCAATAATCCACATGTTTGTTGGCTAAGAACCTCAACTAACAAAGATAAGTTGATTACCAATGATGCATTAATTCAGAATAATTGAGGTAAAGCCATTGCAGCCAACTGCACAAAGATAAGGAATAACCTAAATTCAACTACACCAGGCACTACAGTTGAGTCTGCCCAAAAGTGCACCACCATCAAAGAAATTCCTAATCAACTTAAAATAAGTGTCAGTAAGTTAAAACAATTAATTATGCTCTTAAATTTAGCAATATGAATACAGGTGATTTTTCAACTTTTGATGCTTGAATGCAAAGAAATAAAATTGGTTGCTGTCATACACACAAGTGGGATGTCCCATTTTCCCCAAGCAGTCTAGATTTAACATTGCTGGATTTTCATCTTTTTGGTAGATTTAAAGAATTTTTAGGAGGGAAAATATTCAAATCTGATAAATAGGTTATTCAGGCTGTTCATGAATGACACAACATGGCCTCAGAAAATTTTTATTCTTCTGGAATTAAGAAATTTCCAGAGCACTGAAACAAATGCATTGCAGGAGGACGTGATTACACAGAAAAATAGTGAGTATACTCTTTCATTGTACTTAATAAAATCTAGCTGATATATAATGGCTTATATATAAATGCCTGTCATATATCCTATTTTAAAATTTTGCTCCTTGAACTTCATATATGATATTTACAAATGCTACAAAATTATGCATCATAAAACTTATCAGTACTTGCATTTCTTAACATATCATAAAATTCAAAAATGTCTTTTATATTTTTATCAGAAACAAAAAAATTTTATTTAAAAAATAATGACAGTGATTGCAAACATATTCATAAATAGTTTCCATTAATTAATAATGCAATAACTCCAATACGAATAACCTAACTCAAAAAGGTTACGAGATATCACAACTGCATACGTTTCAAGGATTTTAAAAGTAATTATAGTCAGACAAAACTAAATGCTTTAATAATTTTCTTTTATGGCAATTGTGAATAGTTACCATTAGATTATTACACACCATTTGTTTTTTCTAAAAAGGTTTGTCAATGTTAAATGCATTATTAAAAAAAATAATTTACCTGCTGTGCTTGTTGTGTATCTTCAATAAAGTTACTTTGAGTTGGACTTTCAACTTCATTTTCTAACCGTGTATACTTAGCATAACCAGTTCCAAGCAAACCCTGAAAATAAAATTTATGCATACAGTTCTGAAAGTGACAAATTTTTGTGATTACAATTAAATATATTAAAATTAAAAAACTCACATAATTGAACAAACTAGATTTTTAAAAGAAAGGCAAATACAAAAATTTTATGCTGCTTATTTTCCTAAGGGTGAAGAATTCTAGATTAATGCTTTTCTACACAGTGTGCCCAAAAAATTCCCTCTGTACACCCATAAAAATTGAATGGCAAAGGCTTTATAGGTTACTTTTAACCTTCTTTATTTATACAAACACCAGTCCATACATTTTAGCCATGTTATCTTTTCGAAGACCCTCATTTTTTAAAGTAATCTTCCAGATTTTTTTAAGGATATAAAATGAATTGTTTGAAAAGAAAAGTTTATGTTATTTTTTTTTGGTTATATGCTGATCTCCTTATTGTGCACTTAGTTTTAAATTTTTGCCTTGAAATCTTGCCTAAACCCGAATGACGAACATTTGGTGTGCCCAGAGTGAGATCACTAAAACAACAGGACCAGACCAACAAATGTATCTTTGCTTCATTGCAATACTTTCTTCAATGAGCTCATTCACAATAGAAAGGTGAATGTGCATCTGTTTTTTTTTTTTTTTTTTTTTTTTTTTTTTTTTTTGAGGGGAGGTTTGGTTATCAACTAAGAAATTGTCGGGGTGTTTTTCTGAAGGACAGGGGTAATTTTATCAGCTAGGTCTTTGATTTTTCACTAGAGCAGTTATCTTTTCTTTCTTTTGCTTTCATTGAAAGAAGTTTTGAGTTGTAAATGTTCATTTAATTTTATAGTTTATATTTATTTAATTGTAGATAAAACACTAGTTTATTTATTTATTTTTTTCTGAATTTTAATTATTTTGCAAATGGATCAGAGAGGGCTCACCATTTCTCAAGCATTGAAAGTGCTAAACAAATTCCCTTCACATAATGAATCTGATATGGATTCCAATGCATGTACAAAACATGCAATGTTGGGTTGTGCACTTTCAAAGGTGGCATCACTTGCTTCAAAAAGTACCACCATTAAAAAATAGATGAAAGTGTAAATATGAAATGTAAGTATACAGCCAAGTTACCTTTTTTTCATTTATATGCATGTAATCATCATATAAAGAAGAGCTTTTTTGGGGGAAATGTAGAAAAGCAGGCCTCCTTGTGGTACACCCCATGTAATGCTAAATCTGCTATGGTAAACAGAATCTAGTGTTTTTTAATCATAGGCAAAATCTTTTACCCTATTATGCGCTTCCCAGCAATGCTCCCTTCAGTGCTCTTTTCGAAGCTTTAGTCATTCAGTGAGCCCACTTCGGGCTACAACACATAATTAATTAAAACAGTAAGTGCAGTCTTTACAAAATTTTACCTGTGTACTCCTACAGGCCTGATGATTCAACATTCTCTTTTTTTTTTTTTTTTTTTGTTTTGGTTTAAATTCCACCTTTAAAAGGTAACATGCTGGAAAGGGTTAAGCGAACATCACAGTACCTAATAACTCTCTACTTTTCATTAGAGATTATGATTTAAAATTTTAAGTTATGATGTTTATTATTTATTTACAAATGCTTGGCTTTTAGTACTCAGACCATTTCATCAAAAATTAAAATAATTAAGAACAAAATACATGTTTAAATGCACTCTGCCTATGGGTTATCCAGAGTCAGAAAGAGAATACACTGGAGAATTCCTAAGTCCAATGTAAAACAGGTTAGCATTAAGGCAATCAGTTAAAAGATTAAATGGTACCCTTAGCCTTTAAAGCTCAGTTATTAATTTTGTTAAATTCTATGTTTATCAATGTTATGACGTAACTCGTACGATGTTAATATATAGCAATAATGCATATTTGTTACATTTTGTTTTCATATACATATTAAACAATCTTTACCAACTTTATAACAACAGTTTTAATTACAGAGGTCATAATATTGTTGAAAGTAAATCAGATAACAAAAAAATTGAAAAATTAAGCCTACTCTATGTACATTACTTAAAAGCTTAACTATTTTTAATTTTTTTGTTCAGATTCACTTGCATTCTTAACACCAAAAAAGTAGTTATATCGATTTATGAATTAGTGCACACTCAGTTAAGCATTTTTGTTCAGTTATACTGCAGATTCTTTATCTAAATAAAATAATGATTTTTTGGCAGCTACCTATTATCCCATCGACCATAAAACTCTCACCAAGCAGAACAATTTAACACCAGTTATGGATAAGGGTGATGTAATAACACATTCATAATATCACTTTTTTGTTTGATGCAACACTGATTTGGTACTTGATAAGCCATGTTTCATTTCTTTGAACAAGGATATAAATTAGTTGCTACTGTTGTATTATTAGTTGCTACTGTTGTATTATTTTCTGGTATTCTGAAATAATAATAATAATAATAATAATAATAATAATAATAATAATTTGGACCTGTCTTCTACAGAACAGCAAGCAGTGGATTATTTATTATTCTACAGAACAGCAGTGGATTATTTATTATTCTACAGAACAGCAAGCAGTGGATTATTTTCAAATTTATGGGCTCCTCCATTACAAAAAGTGCATATTAATGGACATTGTATGGTCACATGAATATGGACAACAAAACAGTAACAAACCGGATAAATTACCTGTGGGAAGCTTAGCATCATTCTAAACAGTGCTTTCAGTAAAACTGAAGACCAAACAAAACAGCAGAAATTGACGAAAGCCTTTTTCTGAAGTGCAAAAATGAAGTTGGTTGAAAACTAATCATGTATTAAATAAGCAGACATCAGTTCCTCAGAATTTTGCAGAAACGACTCGAGCAATTTTGGTAGGATCCCTGCCAACTTTCAAGGTTGACAGGATAATATATAAATACTTTCCTTTATTAACAGAAGTGTTAATTTTGGAATGATTTCCAGAATTAATTTATGCTATGCCATATTAAGAACAAAAACAATCAGAATTAATCTTTTCAATAACCCCCCTCCAAATACAGAAGCCAGAAATTTTAGAATATGAAGCTCTGAGCAGACATTTATCAGAATTAATCTTTTCAATAACCCCTCCCCCTCTCCAAATACAGAAGCCAGAAATTTCAGAATATGAAGCTCTGAGCAGACATTTTCAAAATTTTACAGTATACAGTAAAATGTCTAGTTTTCAAATGATAAATATTTAAAAATATTAAGCACTTTTCCTGTTTTAAAACAGATAATAAAATGCTAAAAACCAATAGCCACGTATTATTAATTAATGCATCTTACCTGTCTTACTTTCTTTTCCTTTGTCTCAAACATTTTATCTTTCATTAACTATAAAAGAAGTGAATTTCAATAAAAAAATGAGAAACAGCTACAAAAAAAAAAAAAAAAAAAAAAAAAAAAAAAAAAAAAACAGTACATTTAAACAATAATTTTTCATCATGTGTTCTGCAATAGTAAATGGATCAGTTACAACCAAATAATGAAATTCTCTTTTCATTAAAGATCATTTAGTAGAAAACAGAAGTTAAAATAATATATTTGTAACTCTTTTTAATCTTAAACATAGATTTTAAAAGAATACAGACATTAACATTTAAAAAGACATCACTTGAAATAGAATTTTAGAAAATTTTTGATAGCTCTTCCTCATTTTGAAACAATTAAGAAAAAAGTATTCATTGCTTAATATAGTTGGCAAATTAATTATTAAATGAATATTCCCCACTCATTAACACAAAATCAAACTACTGAAGTTTTATTATTCTTTCATAACACTTAGAATATTAGCTTTTCAATGCAAAAATCATAAACAACTTCCTTTCATTTATTAAATTACTTTGCAGTAGTTATAATTCTTTGATGAGAAAAATAATTTTAGGGATGAATGTAATTTAGTCGACTTTTATTCAAATGTCTTATCTGTTTTATCAAGTTGATATTGATTATATTTCACATCTTTGAAATTGATGAACTGATAAATAAACTGATGAATAAATTTGAGAGATAAGATGAAGAAACAGATTCAGATGATGATTATAATATCCTAAAGAACAAGAATGGCATTAATGATCAAAAGGGCCATGATGAGAATTACTACAATGCACATTAGTACACAGAATAATGATAAAAAACATTTCAGATCAGACCAAAAAATTTTCATCACACAATAGCAAGTTATGAAACTTTCAATGAAATGTTGATTAATCAAAATGCAACAAAACATAAGTGAACAAAGCATACAAGCCAGCTGAATGAATAAAAACAAGGAATAAATGGGCAACAAAACACAACACATAATTAAACTCAGTGCTATAGGATGAAGCTTTATCTAGGATTCACTATAAAGTAAACAACACTTTTATCGATACTCAACAGAAAAAACTACTGCCATCACACTACAACAGAAACTTTGATCTAATCATGCAATTTGCTAGGCAATTTAGTAAAAATACAGCTGATTATATGAGATGAAATGTAGAGGTATTATCTTTCAATTACGTATTGAAAATTAAATTTTCTTTACAAATATAATTTATATTAGATCTTTAGATTCACAATTTAGTGCCTGAGGTAAAATGGACCTGCTAATTCTAGTAGTCTGAAGTAAATCTTATTAACCTATCAAATCAGACATCTCCTGTCATTAAAGGTAGCCATACTTACCAAATAGCATTAATCCAGTCCACAAGAAATGACTACCTTTTCCTGTGATAATCAAAACAGGAAAGTGCTGAGTGATTGGCACCGTATTTAAAATGCAAACTATTTCATTAGTCAAAATTACAGATTGAAATAATATTTATACAGTCAAAAGTCTTTAATCCAGACATCCATAATCCGGAATGATCTATAATCCAGACCTCAAAGCTACAAACTTTCTGTAGATAATACCTTTACGCATGTGCGTTTAATGTATAACGGAAGGTATAAGCTAAGCTAAAATTATCTAATTATCTATTTCAGTTAATGTTGCAGATTGTGCTTTTCCTTAATCTTTGAATTGGATCTGGCTTTTTATTTTTGCAGACTGTTAGAGCAATTTTATAAAAGTAAGCTTGAACTTTCGATTATGTCAAATAGAATTTCCGATTTTGGAACTGCCAAAGGATCTACAAAGCGAAAGCATGTTTCGATGTCCATCAAACAAAAAGTGGAATTGCTGCAAAAAATGGATAAAGGCCTTTGTTTCTCTAACCATTCCGAAATCTGTTTATCAATTTCACGTTGCTCTGCCAGGGGGGACGTCGCGGCACGCAATGAACTGGAAGTTGATCTGTCAGCACTATCCTTATCTTCAGGGCAGATGTTTTTATTTCATTCGTCTTATAACTCCTTACTAAATGTAGCATTTCATCTCGATGTACTCCGTCTTTGATATGATTTAAATCAAATTCCTTGCCATTATAAATATCATGAATACACATCAAATAGTTTTCTGGTTGCAATTTTCTAAAAGTCCCGATGAGTCTGAATTAAAGACTTTTGACTGTAGTTTTTCTATGACATTAAAGCAGCTGCTCATATCTAAAATAATATTGCTGTTATTTACTTTGATGTTTTGTTTGCCTGTATCAAATATAAATATTACATGAAGCAAGAAGAAAGAAAATGGTTACGTCTTTATGTTAATGTTACGTCCCATTTTACGAACACCATTTTAGAGAAGTTTTGAGACAATATTTTAATTTATGCAGTCGACTAGTTTCCTGTTCTCTCAAATCAGCAATAAAAATATCCTACATTTCAAGACAGTCAGGAAAATTATTCTGTACACATTATCTTTGAAATGCATAATTTTCTGTCACCGATTACCAGTGGACTTTTGATCAGTGGACTACTTTTTTTTTCCTACTCTCCAAAATTAAATAGGTTATATAGTGTCAATTTTATGATGTGCTCATTATACAAATAATAGTAATAAGTGTCATCAGCTCTGCTTTAACTACTTACCAATATGTGATAAGCAATTAAAGTTCTTTGTTCAAAACAAAGGTAAAGTACTTCATGACAGAAAAATTAATACTCAGATTGCAGAAGAAATTACCATAAATAAATCAAGAACAGTGGTTTATTAAAATAATTCATTATTTTTAAATTGCTGGCCTGTGTAAATGTGCAATTGATGCATAGGTAATTTGAAGATCTTGTACATCTCTATATATTTCTTAAAAATGTTGTTTTCATTAAAAATGTTATGCATTATAATACTAATTTTTATGCCTTTTTACATTCAGAGAAGTAATACAGAAACAAAGATCTAAGCTTTTAACACTGAAACCTAGTTAAGTATAAATTCAGAGAAAAGCTACAGAAATAAACATATAAGCTTTTAACACTGAAACTTATTTAGCTGAGTATCAATTGCATTTAAGTTTTTGTTTGATTAATTACACATAATGGATTTTGTTAATTTAAGAAAGAAAAGCAATATACCTGCATGGTTTTCTGGTGGTATGATTTTTCAGCATAAACTGGTTTACTGAATTAAGAAACTTTAGAATTTTTGTTTAGTTACATATCAAAAGTATACATACATCAGTAAAAAACTTCCAACTTGACTTAAATAATTTTTAGGTTCCCCCTCCCTTTTAATTTACATATACATACATACTGATATTTCTTCTCATGAAAAGCCTTTTTTTAAAATACGAGTTGCACATCTGACATTGTAAAGATGCAAGTTTACATTAGCTGTCAGAAGTTATACTGGAATCTCAAAAAGGTATAACTAAATAACTACATTACTACAACTGTGATGCAGAACAAAGCATTTATGTATCTATCATACATAATATTACTACAGTAACACATTATAGGATAAAAAAAAAGATGACCCACAAAAGCATATTACAAAACACCATAAAGTTCATATAAAATATTCTGATCTTTTCTATTACAGAATAATATGCACTAACATTGTTCATCATTAATTTAAATGCATTGTTATCAACTCTCATCATAACAGTGATTTTGCTTTTAAATTCAATATCGTCAATAAAGAGTTTTTAAAGCATAACATTCTTTGTTTATCAAACTAACTAACCTAAGGGATATATTTCTTACGTTTACAAAAAATTATCTTGGTCAAAAAGAAGTGATGATAAAAGCCTCTTTTTGTCACAAAAAAGTATCAAGTTAGTGCACATATTTTTATAGAAAAATTGTTTGGGGCATAAATTAACCTATAGTCGCAAATATTAAATACTTTTATCATACTAGTAATACTTTATGCCCCCACAGTAGAACGTTTTGCATTGTTCTGGAATAAGCTTTAACTGCTGGAAAATGTTTTACAGAAGATGCATCACATTTATTAAACAAAAGTTACATATATAGCATGTATTAGGCATTTCTATGTTCTATTAATTGAACCTTTATATAAATATATGTCTATATGTGTGAATTAATATATATATGCACACACACATATATGATAAAAATATGTAAATCAAAATTTTAGCTTTAATTTAGCCCCTTAACTCTCCATTTTAATTTTGCCGTTTCTTTTTCCTGTCCTAAAAACAATAACTGCTTAACGTAAACCTTTATAAACTTTGTCATTTCAAAATTAATCAGTCATATGATTCTTATGTCAAGCTAATAGACTGAAATAACACTTCAGCATATTAATAATTTCAAATTTGGAAAATGAAACTTTTAGCAGCCAGTGGGGGGAAATGTGAACTGAAACTAAATCCCTCTGAACACAACTTTTATCTTGGCCACATCACCTTCACTCTCTGGTAGCTACATTACTATTGCTGCTTTTCTTACTTCAATATTTACCACATTAAAAAATACAAAGTTCTTTGGGAACAGGTGTGCTTACTGTGTCAATTTATTGATGTTGGCTTAAAAATATTTGTCAACAAGAATAAAAAAATATCAAAACTGGCCATTACTACAGCTACGTCTTTATGCATCTACACGCCAGCAATGACCAAATTATTTCACAAATATGTAGAAAAAAATTAATAAAATACAGAGAGAGATTCAGTTTAGGATAAATACTTTTAGAGATTAGCCATAGAAATGTTTTTTTTTGGGGGGGGGAAGAGATAAGAGAGTGTTTTATATTTATTATTAAGCAGCAAAGCCCTTTGTTCTGTGATATATACCACATTTACACTTTGGAGATCTTATGCTTTACAAGTAGAAATGACCATCAGTAATGAAAAATTCTCAAGCTCTTGCACTAATGAGGACATCTTTATTTGCTCATCATCATTTTTTCTCCCTTAGGGAACAATGTTGTATAAAACTGATTAAAATGCAAAGTGTTGGCACTTACCATGCTTCATGAGAAATTGTTCTTGATCTTCTGAATTTGTAATTTTCAATATGGTCATAATTACTCAGATTAAATATTAGCTCATGGTGTGACTTTTCCATTGTCAGAAGTTATCTGCAGTCTTCAGGATAAAGACATCCAGCATTTTAGTCTAAGGTCATAATGAATCTGCCGGTTTTTAGCAAACTGTGGGTATTAATGATTATACAAAGGATCTTGCTTAAAAAAGGTCTAGTTTTTTCCACTATCACTGTGTTATGTCCCTGTGTTGTCAACTAGAGCTTGAATTTCTGCTGCAGATGCAATGTGATGCACCAAGCCATACGTTAAATATGGCTGTCTTCCCTCCAAGTAGTGCCACATGGCCACCCAGAACCCGGTATTCTTGAGACAATACCTTCCCTTTAACACTGCTGCCAACAATCATCTTCAGTAATAACATTCCTCTCTAGTCTATCACGGAAAGAAAATTCATCTTCTCGTAGCCCTATTACACAACCTTGTTCAAACTTACCGAGATGCTGATAATAGCTTCTTCTTCTTCCTAAAAGCATTCATGAGTAATATCAACTCACTATGTTAAATCTCAAAGATAAATAATGCTCACAAATTTTACAACACATATTTAAAGCAAACCTGATTTAAATGCTCATAGTGGTGCTATTCTCCTTTTTATTTATTTATTTATTTATTTATTTTCATATCAGTATTATGCTTTTGACCACCCTATGGCAAAGTGGCTAGCTCGTTGCACAGCTGCACCACAGGTCTGGGGTTCAATCCCCGGGCTAGGCAAAGTTGACTCAGCCTTTCATCCCTCGAATGGGTCGATAAAATGAGTACCAAGTTTGCTTGGGGACTAAACACCGGGAGGCCTGTGACAGGTGACAGGTGAGAGCAGGTCCGGACACCCGGACGGCTTACATAGGACAAGTCGGGTATCGTCCGGAACCCGCAACTATCTGAAGCTACACTCCGAAACAATACAAGGGCAAAGTACATGGCCATACAAGGGCAAAATATAGATTTTTCTGCATGCGAAATTAAACATTTTCCTGGCTACATCGCATGTTAACACACTGCTACACATACTTGCTACAATATACATTTCATAATATGCATTGCATTGATCATTGCACTGTACTTAAGGCACATTTACAACTCAATGCTACACTTAATACACTGAGACCTGTGACACGGAGGCCTGTGACAGGCTGATCACTTGCCCAGCGCATATGCTGATGAACTCTGGGGCCCAAGGTCAAGAAAGCACATTTCGGGGCACTGCAGGCCATGGCCCACTAGGGCTGCTGTGCCATTGAGTTTAGTTTATATATGCTTTAGAATGACTGAAATGTTCCAAAAGAATTCATTGACATTTTTAATCTTAATGATTGATATAATTAAATACACATGTTTTAAAAATTTTACATATAAACAAATTTTAACTCCAAGGTTATGATTTTGCTCTTTCAAATGAGAAACACTTTTATTCTGTAACTGAGAAAATTCATGAAAATTATAAAATTAACATCTCCAAATGTTGCTACTAACTATGACGTCACATGAGATAATAATTATTTTATAATGCACATAGTTGCCTTTGTTAGACATGTGGATTATTTGTTTTAATTTTTATATTTCATCCTGGTAAAAAATCAAGTTTCATTAATAAATACGGGCTTTCAGAAATCTCATCCCTTCTGGCACGTGCTTTTAATGGCCAGCATTGTACTATTCACTTCATAACTTGCAAGTATGAAAGTCATTGTTACTCAGTACAAGGATGTAATTAACATATTTTACTCTGTGCACACTTATACACATTAGGCCATACAAATAAAGAAAATTTAACTTGCTTGTTAATATTTAACAGTCTGTCAGTCCCTATAATATAGAAAAATTCTATATTACAGGTATTTCAAGTTTTTCCATTTAGTATGAAGTAAGATTATCTCAGTGGCCTTTTTGTTCAAACTACACAAATTCCTCCCATTTTTTAATACACATACTGGCTAATACCTCAATTCAGAGTATGAATGCCTATATTTTGAATATATAAGGTTCGAAATGAAAATTCTGTTCATTTGGGAAGTGAAAGAAAATAATACATTTTTCATACTTGTAATAATATTTGTTGTACAATATAATTTCCATTGTTACTTATGACCTCTTGCCCATGTGATAATAATTTATAGATACCATTTTTGAAAAATATCTTGGCCTTAGAGGTAAAGAACTCAGGTAGTGGTTGACATCTGTTTCAGTTTTGATCCCCCCCCCCTCAAAAAATTTTGCAAGGAGAGAAACAAGTGATAATCAGAGGGTGCTAGAACTGAAAAGTATGATTTTCCAGCGGCAGAATTTCCTAATATAGCTCTATGGTTTTATGACGAGTCACCGAGGCAGCAAGTGCTCTGACATTATGATGATGCAGTATGATATGCTTCCTATTGAACACTGCCAGCCTCTTTTTTTTTTAAACTGTTTTAAATAAATTGTCAATTTGCTGACAGTATCTCTCTGAAATGAACTTTTTTTAGATTTCAGGATCTTATAATTCATTGGTCCTGGGACATCCCCCCCCCACCTATAAGCATTCTCGTATTCAGATTCAAATTCAGTTTAGAAGTGGAGAGAACAAGTTGTCTGAGCTCACAGTATGCTCTTTTCCTAACAATGTTTTCATGATCAATCTACTTTTCTTCCCGAGTTATCATTCGGTTTAAAAAGGGTTCATTTTTGTTCTAAGGAAACACAGATGTGCATATAACAACTCGATCATGCAACATTTTCTTACTTAATTCATAAGGAATCCATCTGGAATAATCACAGACCAATCCTAGTTTCCAAATATGACCCAAAATGGCTTGTTGCGCTAAATTAAGTTTTTCTGCTATCTCCAATGTTGTCAAAAAAGGAGCTTGCTCTATCATGGTCTTAACAATATCGTTATTGATCAAAGATGGCTTCCCAGAAGCATGGCTTACTATTAAGGTTGAAATTACCTCCTTTGAATTTTTCTTACTAGCTTCTGCAAGTTCTACCCAAAGCTGCCATCTACCAAAAACTACTACTAAATTTTAACATGCTCCTGTAGTATTTCTTCCTTGTTAGAATTTGAGCAAAATACAGGGTTATAAAGTAAATGAACTTTATGGTAGCTGTGTTTACACAGCC